ATAGACAGACAGATGATTTATCTAAGAACAGAAGAGTAAAGGAAAACAGCATCGATTGGGGCTCCTGGTTGGCAGAAGTGGTAAAGGTGAGCTCAAATACTCTTGGAAAGTCTGGCCGTTCCAAGCCACCCAGAGGCACTTCGGAAGATAGGCCTGGCGATCTGTCTCCGAAAGGTCCCAGCCTGGAAAACTCAATGGAGCAATATTCTGCTCTAACACTCATGGGTGTTAGAGTTCAAATCGACTCGCTGGTAACTGAACGGCAGCATAACCTGCAGCAGTGGCCAGAGTTATGCCCTATGACCTTTCCCCAATCGGAGGATGTGCGGTCAAAACACTTGTTTTAGGTGAGTCAAAATGTAGCATCCATTAATAACGCACGCCAAGAAAAAGTATTGGCCCAGAGAATAGTAGAAGTGTACTGGGCTCTGTGTAATATGTTGGCACGATGTAGCATTAAATCAAATTCTTTTTACTTCTCTTTGGCTTTGTTCACCATCCCTCATCACAGACACACTGTGAACCAGCACATTCAGCCTGTAAACAGCAAGGCCATTCTAGGAGTGCCTGTTTCTCTTTAAATGACCGAGAGACGACCACGAGCTGGCCTCTAACCCAGGGAAACAGGAAGCTAGATTAAAGCCCCAAGAGTGTCCTTCCACCGGGGTATGGCTCTGATTGTCAGTAACTACTGCAAGACTGAGCCAAACCAGGCAGCAGGGAAATGAAGGCTAAATTGCACACGCGGCCATAAAGACACGAGGGGAGCAACCAGCCTATTCCAGGGGTGGCCGTGTGCTCAGGAAAAGGGGGAAGTGGCAGTTCTGCTGGTGACAGTAGATACTATTAAAGAATTTCTGGGGCTTAGCAGGTTTGAAGCGGCTCCTATTTCACAGGTGACTCTTGGGCTACATAGACACCTCGGGAGAAGGCTGACTCACAGGGCATACAACGTTGTTTGTTTGTTTCCCTTGATACTTGTAAAATTCTCAGTCCTTGGCCAGAACCTACATTTTTTCCCCCTTAACCAACTTAAATTGGAACTAGTGGATTTTTAATTCAATCCATTTTTGTTGCTTCGTGTAATGATATTCATCATTTTGAAAAGCCCACAGAATACAGTCATTTTCTGCTTTTATAAGAAGCATAAATGTTGTTTTCAGAGTTTATGTGGAACATGACTGCCTTAAACCTTGATTTTATATAGCATTATTAAATGGGCCGAACCCTAATATTTAAGCTGTATAAAAATTCCAAGCTTGAAGTCGTGTGATTTTGTTCGATGTTTTACGCCAGTTTGGCATTGTTTATATAAGGGTCATGTTGTAATTCTCCTATTTTCCCTCCGCGCGTGTCCCTCTGCAGGCAAGGAACTTCCGCCTCTACACACAGGAGGTGTTGGAAATGGGTCACAATGTGTCCTTTCTTCTCCTGCTCCCTGCCTCAGACGACGTCTGTACAGCCCCAGGACAGAATAATCCTTACACCCCACACTCAGGCTTTCTTAACCTCCCTCTTCAGATGTTTGAACTCGGTATACTAGCTTGTTTCACCTAGCAATATTAACCCAGCCTCCTTATAATAAAATCACAAAGTTCTATCTGTTCCCCCTCGTCCCAGCGGAGGGTCCATAAATCACACGATGGCTTTGGCAACACCCCTCCCCAGAACTGTGTACAAGTCGGAGAGAAAGCGAGGTGCCAAGACTAGATGCCTGCCCGATAATTACTGAGCGCTCACGAGGGCCCCATGGAGAGGAGGGATGCAAACAGAAAGTTCAGTTGTCATGTGCAACTCTTGCCTCCTCTCTGCTTCCTTAAAACAGAAATACAAGAACTGGCGTTTGCATGAAAAGCACCGTTCACTCGCTCTCTCTCCGGCTCACTCTCTGGGGAGTGGGAGCAGGAACAATGGACTTCACATGTAGAGTGTGGATCACTTTGGAGGGGGGAAAAAGCCTATAACTTCGAATAGTGCCGTTTATTAAGTAGGCTATACTATTAAATAGACTCTGAATTTCTGACAGACCATTTGAGGAACTCAGGGGAATGGCTTTCTCTCTCTCTCTCTGGGATGCAGCACTAGTGGGATTCGAATGTGGAATTCTGACTGGTGGAAGATCTTCCCTTGACTGACAGGAATGAATAACCTGGGCCCCAGTTCCTTTTTTTTTTTTTCATTCAGAGACCCCTGCTGCCCACTGAGGGTGTGAATGAGGTGGCTTTGTCTTCTCTTTCCCAAGCTTCATCTAGGAACAGGCTAGTAAGTGGCAATTAGCAAGAGGGTTCAGTCCATTCCAATGAGCTGTACTGGTGGTAGGAGGGTGGGAGGGTGGGTGATGGAGGCAGACCCTCTTTGGATTGCAAATTTGAAGCAGGCTGGTCAACTAGCTGTGAGACCTAGCATCTAAATCCCAACTTTTCCTTCAAGAATTAGTTGCTTCAGCCCTGGGCTTCCTTTGCTTCAAACAGTTCAGATGCCCCAGAGTTAATGAATGCCAATTGTTATGTTCCAGAGGAAGGGGGCTCATTAAGGGAAACTTTAATCAAGCTATTGAGCTGGGACTGGAGAGTCCTAGGTCCCTTATGGTGTGACACGGGCAATCACTTAACCTTTCTGTATCTTCTCTGTGTCAAATGACGGATAACATGGGCAACACCAATCCCAAGAGACCTAGCGGTGCACGTGGCCATTTAATGAATCCTCAGTCAACAAGCATTACTAGGTCATGATATAACACTATTGATGCAAAGGAAGATAATGTGGTCAGGGTATTGGGATTCAAGTCAGCGAACATCTCCAGGGTGCCAGTTCTATAGATTCTGAGACAAATGAGACAAAGGCTCTGCCCTAGAGAGGTTGTTGGTATGTTTGTAGGAGTAAAATAAGAATAGAAATTACTATGCAATACGATAGATTGTGTTAGAACTCATAAAGACGAAGTGATTGAAATCATAAATACTAAGAAATCATTTTTCAACTTCTGAAAAAGGGAAAATCCTCTCGTTTGCAAAGAAGACATCAGAAAAGACCTCTGAGAGGAGAAGCTATTTGACGAGGGATTTAAGGAAAGGACAAGATGTTTGTAAATATGCATAAAAAGAAACGCTTCTTTGCTGGAAGGAAGAGAATGGAAACAAGGCCCTAGATAGGCAGGAAGCAATTGGTCTGCCTGAACAGATCCGAAGAGCAGGGAGAGGGGAGTGCAGTACCTGGCAGCACAGGCAATCCGGGGCCCTGGTGAGTAGTGTGATAGGCTGACGAGGAGATTAAGGAGGAAGAGACACTTCAGAGAGTCGCATAACAATCCAGTGTTGGAGTGGAAACCAAAAGAAGAAAACAGGAGCTAAGAAACGTTGGAACTAATCAAAAGCTTTGGGCAACTATCTGAATGAGTATTGGTGGTCATTGGAAGGAGGGCCCATGGGGGGAAATGATGTTTTCAGTTCTGATTGTGTTGAGTCTGAAGGTGCTAATTCAGCATCCTAGTGAATCTGTGCCTTTGGCAATGGAAAAGCAGAAGAGAACGTTGGGGAGCAAACATGTACATGTGGTCATTATCTAAAGAAGCCATGACCGTGAGTAGTTTCCAGGGAGACAACTGGCAGGAAATCCTTTATGGAGCGTTCACCAACAGTCCGTTGGAAACGGTCATTGATGTTACATGACTAGCAAAGATACAGTAAATGTGTTTCCCCAAGCCTCAATGTCCCTGGTGGGAACAATTAGTGACTTGGTATCACTCATTGAATATATGACTCCCACGACTCTGGAGGTCCAAGTCTTGCAAGTCTCCTCCCTTTCCCCTCTTTCTGGAAGACTCACATGGACTTCCTGGAAAGCCACTCCATGCCCCATTCTGATTTCTCTCAGTGGGTGGAGTCTGTTAGCACCCATGACCTCTTTCACTCATTCATTAATTGGTACTCACTGAGTAGCCTACAATGTGCACTATTTTAGGTCCTGAAGAATCGGCAATGAGCAGATTTTTCCTGGAGCTTACATTGTAACGGGGAAGAAAGGTAATAAGCCAACCAGCAATTATATTATAAATAACAAAGAGCAACAAGGTTATGACACCCCCCCCAAAAAAAAAAAAACCTCAGGGTAAAGGCCTGAAGTGGCCATTGTAGACAGGATGACCGGGCAAAGTTTCTAAAAAGGATGCATGTGAGCAAGGACCTGAAGACTGCCAGGCCGTGGGGAAAAGCAAGGGCAAAGGTCTCACAGTAAAAAGGTGTGCTTCTTGTCCTGAGGAAAAGCTAAGAGATCCGGTGCAGGTGGCGTGCAATAAGGGAGGGAGAGGAGTTGGGATCAGAATCAATGGGGACTAGATCGTGCAGGGGCTCAGAGACTATAAGAAGGACTTTAAGTTTATTGTAATAATATTGATATTCCAATGGAGGACCTTGAGCAAGATAGTAGCATATTAAAAGCTTCACATTTTTTGGTACAGTAGGAGAAAAAAAAAAGAAAAAAGCTTTGCTTTGTTTAAAGAATATTTAGAGATGCACATTCCAGAACCCGGGCCCTCTGTCTAGTTTGTAAAACAATTCCCCAAAACGTCAAGTTCTATTTCCATTCTGACACAGTTCATTCTTTAAGTTCATATCTTTCCACATTTTATTAGAAATTGCAAGGAGAAACCATGCAGTCCTTTTAAGATCTTGCTTAGAAATCTTCTCAGCCAGCTATCTAGATTCATCACTTCCAAGTTCTACTCTCCACCTTATATTTATACATACTCCAGGCAAGTTCTTTGCCACTGTATAAAAAGAACCAGCCTTAGTTCATTGTCCAATTGCATGTTCATCACTTTCTCTTAAAGCCTCATCACAAGCACATGGAACGCACATGTCTACCCATGTTCTGCTGCCGGCGCCATAGTTATTCTTTAAGAGGGCAGACTTTGCCTCTGGCTTGCCTCACTTCCCATGAGCCTTCACCAGCGTTGCCTTAGACATCCATAATTCTATCAACAGTTTCTTCAAAGCAATCTGGGGTCTTACTAGGAGGCATCTTACGACTCTCCCAGCCTTTACTCATTCGTTACCCAGTTCTAAACCTATGTCCACGTGGTCGGTGTCTGTTAGAGCAGCACTCCACCCTTGGACACCAAATTCTGTCTGCTTTATGTGGTGCTGAGTAACAAAAAACGCCACCGGTGATGCCTTGAACAATCAATAATCCAGTTTCTCCCCTTTTTTATGAGACTAGAAGACCAAATTCAAGGTGTTGGCTCTAGGAGAAGATACTCTCTCACTGTCAGCTCTGAAGGAGAAGTCCTTGTCTCATCTGAGCTTTTGTTCCTAAGTGATCTCCCTGTGGCCCAGCATTTGTCTTCCCCCATCTCTGCTTGCATTTAATATCGTTTATATTTCAAATAAACACCCTACACTCTAGCTCATTTAACTCAACAAAGACGGTCCATTCCCAAATGGGATAATAGCCATAGGCATAGGCATTAGGTTTTTACAATATATATTGACAGGAGACACAACTGAATCCATAGCAACCAGCATGTACTATTTTTTGGCTGTGAAACCCAGGCCTTAATCAAAGCCTGAGTGTTGGTAGGTTCTGACTGGAAGGTATTTGTTTTCAGAGTAAGCTTTCTGACCCTCCTTGTCCTTCCATGTGGCCATATTGTTGGTGATCCCACTGATTAATGAGGATCATGCAAGGTTTCAGAAGCCACTTGGTTGGGCTTGGCTCCGTGGGCACACACAGCTCTGGTAGTCTTTCCAAAGGATCAGAGGGGAATGTTACCAAGGACAGGAAATGAATCACTCCCTAGGACAGTGTTTATTATACTGCAGCACCACCAGAAACAATTGTTATCATTGGTGCTTCGTAAGAATCACTGGAGAAGTCTTCTGTGAAGCCCGCTGTAAGTATTGAAAAGCAAAGATGCTCCTTTGAGAATGAAGGTGAGCCTGACTCAAGACATGGTCTTTTCCATTGCCTCGTATTCATGGCGGGGATTCGGAATAATGAATACCGAAGGCAAAAGGAGAATTGAAGCCTTTGAAGAACGCTGTTGATGAAGAATCTTCAATGGATCATGGACTGCCAGAGAAATGAACCGTCTGTCTTGGAAGAAGTACAGTCAGAATGCTCCTTGGAAGCAAGGATGGCGAGACTTCATCTCACATACGAGGCACATGTTACCAAGAGCGGTTAGTCCTTAAAGAAAGGCGCTGTGCTTGGTGAATTAGAAGATCAGCCAAAAAGAGGAAGGCCTTCGGTGAGATGGGTTGACACAATGGCACAACCATGGCTCAAACAGAATCACGGTTATGAAGATGGTACGAGTCCAGACAGCGTTTTGTTCTGTTGAGTCACTGGGCTCAAAGCATGCTGGATACCTCACAACAACCACAACAAGAATCATAACAAATTCAACCCCAACCCCAAACAGACATGTAGAAGAGGTATCTCATCATAGTTACTTCCTCTGCCAGCCATCAGCCATGGGCGCAATGTCAGTGGGCTATGCAGCATTTCCAAGGGCTTGCTCTAGTGGACCAAACTCCCTCTCAGAAAGAAGGAAAGAA